AAGACCAACTTTAGCCCAGGAGTTACCACAAATTACCAGAATACCCTTGGACGACCAGAAACCTTATTTATATGTTTTGTAAGCCATTGTTGACGGCTAAGCTTTCTATTGTTCTATTTTTCTTAGTTCTAGGAGAGAAGGGAGGAACTCCTTCAGAGTCCTCCTGGAACTCCTTTGTTTCTTTGATTCTTTGTTTGGTTTTTATATTTTATATATAATCTATTTATCTATTCATCCATGATTTATGTGACAAACCTCGTGCTAGAGTAGATCGACCTGTTAGTTTTAGGGTTCAAATAGGTTAGAGGGATTAGCCCCAACTTAGGATTGCTAGTTGTGATACTCATTAATAGGCTGTTTTAATTGCTCATGGTTCTAGAGTAGCTAACTAGAAACATTGAATCCCATATTATTTAGGTTGGATTAGAGACATTTAAGTGATTCTGAATATCTTGAACACATCCCTATTAAGCTAAGATTTATTAGAAATATAATTGATATGATTTGATTTAGAAATCTTTAGTGAGTTTAGGTTAACTCGTGTGTATTGCTTGACCGGCTCATCGATCGATCTTCCTAACATAAATCGATCGATAACGAAATTAGTGTATCGGTCGATGTTCCTATCGAATAATCGATCGACACTGTCAAGTGCGACCATCCGGTCATTAGACTTATTTATTTGAACGTTAATTTAAATAATTTATTAATTAAGATATTTAATGTTCTATAGTATCTCGCAAGCAACTGAATAGCTTCTATAGGATTATAATCCCAATATCTGAATAGAAACAATAGATCTAGCAACCATCCTTCCATCAAACAACTTCCTTCCAAGTTGAATAATTTCCTTTTTCATCTTTTTTACTGTTTTATTTATTGATTGCATTGTTTACTGCTTTATTATTTTTTTACTGTTTTAAATATTTGTTTACCTAGATTATTAATATCTGTTTAGATTTAATTGTTTCTCTAGCTCCTCGTGATTCAATCCCTAAGTAATACAACTGAACCTCTTATTTGAGAGAGTAATTCACTCCTTAAGGTAATTTGAGTGATATCACGGCTAGAGTATTTAACAAATGAGCGCAACAAGGATGGAGATGATGAACTACTTGATGCAAACAAGGAACATACAATTTTTATGGGTTTTATAATAAGTTTATGCAAGAATAAACTATATGAATGAAGAACACAAACGACTTTTATGATTTTTCATTTATTGATGCAAAAAAAAATGAGAGAAGAGATGTATAAAGGATAGAAACGACCTGATGCTGAAGAAACTTCAGATCTGATACCAGAAATGATACAAGCCTAAGCTATCAAAGGCTATATGATCCCAAGCAAGAGAGAAGGAGCCGATCTGCAAAAGGGGGTGGATTGATGGATTGATCTAATCAATCAAGGAATCCGGATGAAGTAGCTTGATGGATCGAAGTGCACCACACGAGGGATGGATGATCTCGTGATACAACACAAGGTTTCTCAAGGCCGTGGAGGTACTGGTCTCACAAGGCAGAGAGAAAGGAGGCAAGTTATTGCTTGAGAGCTCTAGGTTTTCCGAAGAAAAGGTTTTATGTTTATTCAAAGTCTGCCTCAAAAAGGAGTTTGCGAAAACATATAAATAAGAGCAGGAACAGGCTCCTTTAGGTCAAGAAATAACAACTATAGTCTAAACAAATGAAACATAAATTAATGACATAAGCCTTCATATCCTTGGACCAAGATAGCACCTAGGAAATGTGTAAAGAAGAGTGTGGCCTCGTTAAAACCCATCGGGACAAAAACCAAGAGCAAAGAAAAGAGCACACACAAAGAGCTTGGCCTAGTTACTTGATCAGTCCAAGAGTCTTGCTACGCAAGTTGTTCTTCGATGGTAATGATTATCAGATTGCTGTGGCCTTGGTCCAGAATGAATTGCCATAGATCTTCACTTGATCTCTTGATATGCTCAACCGGTTCATCATTCTTCAAGCTTAATTCTCCCATATTCAGGGCATCTATCTTGGTGTTATCTTCAGGAACTTCATAAGTGGATTTAACATGTCCAAGATCAGAAGCAAGCATCATGCTCTCATTAAACTTATGTTGGAGTATCTTAGCTCTTTGTCAGGTAGTAGCTCATTATATGTTCAATAGCGATAGCTAAATCCTGGACTTAGGTAATTATTAGACTCACATGCGACAACTGTATATCTGTACACTAAAGTTTGAGTTCTAGAATATCACACACAATACCTTTAGCTTCTATATCTCTATAATCCTGATTACCTGAAATCCTAAATCTAGCTATTTTCTCATAGTGTTTACAACCTCAATTAATAAATTTGTTTTCCTATTTACTGCTATTTAATTACTTGCCTAGCTTAATATGCATATCTATAAATCTAGTGTGTGCCCATGCTATCTTTGGATTTTATCTCTAAGTACCATAACTAAACCTCTTATTTGAGAGAGTAAGTTGCGAATAGGATAATCTGAGAGCATATCATAGGCCAATATCCCTTTTTTTGTTTCTCCATTTTTAAGATCGCTGTGCATTCTCGGGTGCATAACTGGGGCAGAAGCTCTAGCTGGCCAAGCTGGTGTGCTGGAAATCTAAGTGTCCTCCCACACATTAACCTCATATCCAGAATTGATTTTTTGTTTAATTCCGAGTAGCAGTAATTTTCTTGCCGCCATCCGTCCATACATAGGATGGATTATTCACTAAGCATATCCGAAAAGGTATTATGTAGTATTTTCCTCTCAAGACTCGAGCCACTAACAAATCAAGGTATTGTACCAATCTCCACAACTGTTTTGATAATAAGGCCAAATTGAATTCATCGATCATACAAAAGCCAATCCCATCCTCCTCTCTCAGTAAGCAGAGCTTTTCCCAATTTTCCCGGGGAATTCCTCTCTTTTGTGGATTAGATCTCCACCAGTGCAATGGCACTAGCAAGGTTTTCGCATATCTCCAACGGAAGTAGAAAGCTAGACATAACATATGTTGGAATAGCTAACAAAATAGATTTGATTGGGACTTTATTTCCTCCTTTTGATAGCCATATAGTCAATCCATTCATTCTATTTTGTAATCTATCCTTGAGGAATGAAAATTTCTTACACTTAGATATGTTATTATCTTCTCTAATTCCCAAGTCTGAATCCCAAGTGTATCTTTGATTTGTTTTCGAACATTTCTAGTGACCCTTTTACCAAAGAGTGGAGAGGATATATCAAAATTGATGCATTGACCAGATGCTTGTTCCATATTTCCTAACTACTTTCATAACTTCTTCATATACAAGAGGGTCCACATTTCAAAAGAAAAAGGCTATCATCAGCAAAGAGATGGTGATATACCGACAAACAAGAGCGCATGCATCTATGTTATCTTCCATTGATTTTATGCATGATTAAGAAAGAAACAAGCGCTTCCATGCATAGAATAAATATGAAAGAAGACAAAGGATCTTCTTTACGTAAACCTCTTTTGGGGACAATATATCCCCTTGATTACCATTCATGAGTACCTTGTACTTAACCGAAGTTATTCAGCGCATAATCCAGTCAACCCACGTGTTCGAGAGCCCCCTTTTCCGAAAAACTGCTTCAAGGAATGACTATTCCATTCTATCATATGCTTTATTCATATTCGTTTTAATGGCCATTCTTTTAGCGTGCCCACTTGGGTTCGTTCGTAGTGCACTGAACATCTTCTGTGCAATCATGATGTTATCTGTAATCTGTCTTCAAGCAACAAATGCTGACTGGGTTATTGAAATGCGATATGGCAAGAATTTTTGTTAACCTTTGACATAAGACATCAGAGATTAACTTATAGCTGACATCGCAAAAACTAATAGGGCAGAACTGAGACATTTTTGTTGGCTTGGTTGTCTTTGAGATTAGCTTATATTGGTGTTATTTAGTTCATTCGCCATTGTCCCCTGAAAAAGGAATTGATTAACTATACGGGTTAAATCATGTTTTATGATGTCCCAAATTTTTTGATAGAAAAAACCAGTCATCCTATCTGGCCATAAGCCTTCTCTGAATACTTAAGAAAGAATGTCAATTTCAACTCCCACTCAGTGATTGGAGCAGTCATTTATCTTCTTTGTAATTGTTGTTGATATGTATCTTATGGGTTAGTTGACTCAAAGATTTGCCTAAAATAACTAATAGCAATGGTTACCAGTCTTTCTTCATCCTCAGCAACATTTCTTACATCTAAGAACTACATGATTTTGTTTCTTGCTTTTCTTTGCGTTGTTAAAATGTTGAAAAACTTTGTATTTATGTTGCTTTTTCTTAACCATAGAACTCAGTTTTTTATGCTTTCAGAACATTTTCTTTGCCTTAACAGCATCAAATGGTTCCTTTTATTGATTTTGCTATTTCCACAATCATAGCATTATCATTCTGAGTGTAAACCCTTGCCCTTATCTTTAACTTCTCCCTTTTTTTGAATTCAAATTGTTTTGTCTTTTATGGTGGTTTAAAGCTTTGCGGTAGTTTAAGATATAATCCATAATATTTATATCAGGAAGGATATCTGGCGACTTTCATCCCTCAAAAATGATTTGTTTTAGTTTTTTATTATTCAGTCATCGTTTATCAAATTTGATTTTTTTTTTATTTCTTAGTTGATGATCAGTGATCACCAGTTAGGTTATGTTATATTTTTTTAGATTCTGTTTCAGTAGCTTTGGATGATCAAATTAAATCGTTTTTTACCAAAGTTAAAAGTATAAAGAAAAATAACTTCAAGAATTTATGCTTCACAAAAATGGTTTTGAGGTCCCTTCCCTACAATCTAGCTAAGGTCCAAAAATTGACTGGGAAAACGAGAAGACATAATGAGAGTGATCTCTCTCACTCCGGTCCGCTTTTTCACTGCGGTAACAAAAATAGAAACAAACAAGTGAGTAGAAAAAAAGAAGTTTGTCAACAAATCCTTACTTAATCTCATGATCAAACACATTAATTAACAACAATCCTCTGGTAGTAACTCTCTTTCTCTCTCTTTCTCTTTCTTTTTCTCCTCCTCCTTGGAGAGAGCACCTTATGCTGATTCCTCTCCTTGTCTTCCTCAAATCGTGAGCCCATCGCCAATTCCTTCTAAATTTCAGATTTTGATTCCTGGGTTATCCTAGAATTCTTTTGTCGATCATGGCGGTTGTTGAGAGTGGAGTTGCTGCAGAGTCAGGAGCCGTGGTCCAGCCGACGTCTTCACCCACAAGTCAAGATTCTTCCGATGATCAAAACCATCACTCATCAAGGATCGAGCCCGGTGACCAGATTCTCTGCCACGATCAGGACGGTCTCTACAGCAAGATCGGGTCCCAGGCGGCGAGATCCGAAGGCTCAGATGGTGGGGAGAGCTACAAGCGTGAGATGAGGGAGTTGCAGGAGCTTTTCTCTAAGCTCAATCCCATGGCTGCAGAGTTTGTTCCTCCCTCGCTCACTAAACAAGCCGGTGGCTTCTTCCCCTCTCCTGGCTCCTTTTTCCCCAACAATGGCTTTGCTGGTCCCGGAAATGTCTCCCTCGGTAACGAGAACGGTGGTTTCCGACGGGTAAGCGACACCGATTTGCTTCAATTGTATCTCTTCAGTTTTGTGATCTTTGGTTTTTGTTGTTTGATTGGTTTTTTTTTTTCTCAAAGATGTGTTTTGTTTCGTTGTGGGTCTTCAAAAAGATGTCTTTTTGTTTCATAGGATTCGTTTTGACTCTCTGTGTGTGTGTGATGTAGAAGAAGAGCTTTGGTCAAGGGAAACGGAGGATGAATGCTCGAACAAGCATGGCTCAGCGAGAAGATGTCATCCGAAGAACCGTCTATGTCTCTGATCTCGATCAACAGGTTTGGTAAAATTAAACCTTTTTCTATGTTTGTCCTCAAGAGTTTTCTCAGATGTTTTTGGGTGTTGTTAGGTCACTGAAGAGCAGCTTGCTGGTTTGTTTGTTAGCTGTGGACAGGTTTTTCTTCTTGATTCCCTCTTCTTCTTTTAAACTCAATCTTTGGGTTCGTCAGTTTACTGTGTTTTGGTTATAAGCAGGTTGTCGATTGCCGCATATGTGGTGACCCAAACTCGGTACTTCGGTTTGCTTTCATTGAATTCACTGATGAAGGTATTCTATTTCATTGATATTTTTTGGAGTTTCTGGTTTTAAATTTTCTGGTATTGGTTTGTTATAGAGGGTGCGATGACTGCTCTGAATCTATCGGGGACTATGTTGGGATTCTATCCTGTGAAAGTCCTGCCATCTAAAACAGCTATTGCACCCGTTAACCCAACTTTCTTGCCCAGGGTAAATCTTTTCTTTTACCACGCAAAGTCTCTGACGTTTTGAGACTAAGAAAATGATTTGTTTTATTGTTGCTGCAGACTGAAGATGAGCGTGAGATGTGTGCAAGAACTATCTATTGCACTAACATTGACAAGAAGGTAATTTGTTTCTCTTTACACATTAGCTTAATTGATGGAAAGTGTCTCCCCTTTCTCATGTGTGCTTTTTGCTATAGGTGACTCAGTCAGATGTGAAGATCTTCTTTGAGTCCTTCTGTGGAGAGGTGAACAAAACTTGTTGTTGCTACTGCTAAAGAAGTTGTAATTGCTAACAATGAACTAATTAGATTTTTGTTATTAACAACAGGTTCTCCGTTTGAGGCTCCTTGGAGATTATCAACACTCAACTCGTATTGCTTTTGTAGAGTTCGTGATGGTAAGCACATTAAGTATGCTTCCTACTCTTTCTGTAGACTTTCTTGATGGGTGCTTAGCGCACAACATGACTGTTCTATCTTTGTTTCTTTACAACAGGCAGAAAGCGCGATAGCAGCTCTCAACTGCAGTGGAGTTGTTCTAGGTTCTTTACCGATAAGGTCGGAGAAAACAACAGAACCAGTCTCTTAATTAACTCATCTTGAGACTTTTTGTTTCCTTGTTAGTGATAGTTTTGTTTTCTTTTCTCAGGGTGAGTCCTTCAAAGACGCCCGTTCGTCCCAGATCACCGAGGCATCCAATGCATTGATCTTAACTTTACAGGTTTCTCCACATATGTCTATCTATATATATATATGTGTGTGTCTCGCTCTCTCTTGCGAAATAGCATACACAGACATGTAAAGATGTTCTGTTTGCATCTCGTGTTTTGGGAATGTAACTCTGGGATCTGATGATACTTCTTCCCTTTACCTTTTGTCTTGTCTGAGAGCTTTCGATGTCACTCTTTCCTCACAAGTTAGTCTGTGGAAAAATTACTTTTCTTGCCGCTTAACTGTTTCGATGAAGTTAGAAAATGGTTTATGGCAAAAGTTTGGTGGTGTTCTTTGTTTGAACATGAGCGGTCGTTGAGTTGAATAATAATGGAGATCAAACCGGTTAACTTATCTGGTTTTGTACACTTTTTTCACTAAAAGTCAACTTTAGGAAATTTCAAGAAATAATAAATTAAATAAAAGGTTTGGTAGTCTTTTCTGAATTTGTGAACGTCAAGAGGATACAAAATGCAGTGTAGGTTCACCGGTTTCTCAATGTTTTGTACATTTCGAGATTACCCTGTGATTTTCTTTTGATTTTTTTTTTAATTTCAAGCATCCATCCAAATATTGTTGATATACATTATACACAGATACAACGTGTTTTAAGATTGTGACGCGACTCTAGCCCACCTACTCAGGTCCAAATCACAATGAGAATTTGCGTTGTCTAACAATCAAAAAAAAATTACATTTAATTAACCATCACATACATTATTGTGTATATATCTATACTACTTGTAATTTTACCCTTTTCACATTTTCCTCTAGTCTTATTCACATTTATATCCTATGATAATGATTATTCAAAATTTTAAATTACATATTAAAAACTGAAAAACATTTCTGAACATAATATTTTTTGAAAATTTTAAATGGACATATTTTTTACTAAATATCTTGTTGCATATTAGAATAACAATATTACATAAAACTATTCTATTATATATCTATTACATATATAGTATGATAGAAATAATAACAGACAGTTTATATATTTATGTTAAAATATATACACTATTTATTTTTATATAATAATAATAAATTGTAAAAACATAAATCATAAGAAACAATTTACCCCCCTTAATTTGTTTTTTGTATTCTCTTCTTTCTTCTAATATTTTTGTTTTACTTCTATAAATATTATAATATCCTCATCATCATCATCATCATCATCATCATCATCATCATCATCATCATCATCATCATCATCATCATCATCATCATCCTTATGTTCTTTATCGTACAAGTCATACGCTTCCTCACCTTCCAATCCTATTCACATATTATACTATATGATTATCAAATATAGAATAATAAACTTTTATTCTTTGTATTCTATCAACAAGATCTATTCTTGTACATAATATATTTTTATATTAAACATTTGTTTCTATATTTTCTTCTTATCCTCCTCCCTGTATTTCTTTTATATAAGTCATACTCTTTCCCACATTCAAATCCTATTCACATACTATATGATCATCAAAAAAAAAAAAACAATATATATATATATATTGAATAGTAAATTTTTATTTATTTTATTATATCAATCAGATAACTCTTTCACATAATATATTTTATACCAACTACTATTTCTATAATAAATATGCTTCTTCGTATTGCTTACTATTCAAACTGCATTGAACAATACAAATAATTAATACTGCATAAATCAAATTCTTCCATATTATTACATTTTTGTTTGAAATAATATTTATATATCAACATTATAAATAAGATGGTATTTGGTTGTAGTGTATACTAAAATAGAATCTGCACCATGTACTGTTAAGTTTCATTTTTATAATTAAACATTTATTTTGTTATATAGGTTACTAGGGTCGGTACGTGCTACGTGCGGAATGTGGTTTATGTGTAATGTATATAACTATATTATTGTATATAAAATCCTTTTAAAATTTGTTTTTGTTCTGAAAAAACGCGGTCTATATTATGCATAAAATCATTGCTTTTGTTATTTTCTTTCTTTGTTTTATTTTTGGTGCAGTTAACTAATTTTTAATACAATTGTTTAGATTGTTTTAGTGGAGCTATGTTTTACTTTTATTTTTGGGCTGTAAAATTTATCACCATAATTTAAAATGTTTTTTTAATATTTTATATTATGTATTTAATTCGTAACATTAACATTTTCAAATCTATTATATTTTATTTTTATATCTTCTTCTTATCTTTCTTGTTTTATTTTATATTTGTTTTTTTGTGATTTTTTTATTATTTAACTGTGGTTTTGCATCAGTATGTGAATTTAAGTTAATTTTCATTTAGTGACTAAAAGAATAAAATTTATTTGATTCACTATTTTTAGTTTTCATAGATCTGATAAAAATGTGAAAAAGTAATGGGTTTTATACATTTTATTATTATGATCTTTCTTATATGTTTTTGAATTTCTATATTTTATGTTAAATATTTTGGGTTACACAATAAGTTTTTAACTAGAGTTTGACCCGCACATCCGTGCGGGTATATTTTTATTTAATAAATATATAACTAAAGTTTTAAATATATGATTTATTTTTTATTTTTTAATTAAAGTTAATTGATAATTATATTTAATAACAAAATAAAGAAATAGTTATTTATAGAAAAATATTTAAAATGTTCGGTAAGATATTGTTAGATTTTATTCAACAGATTTTGTTATATTTAAATTGATTTATTATTAATATCCTTATTAATTATTAAGATATTTTGAAAATAATATATATTTGATTGGTTAAGTAACAACCAAATATGTCATATTAAATAACTAATGACATGGTCCAACATGACTTCTAAATAGTAGATAAATTTGGTACTTCTCTTTTAATAGAGAAGATATTTTTTAATATTTAGTATTTTTAATATATTAATTTTTTTGTTGTCAAATAGTATCAATTTTTTACTTTAATTTCTAAATTTAAATTTGGGGACAAAAAAATGTTCACTAAATTTACTTTAAACATTTTTTCATTTTCTTGAGTTTGATAAAAAAAAACCAAGATCGTAAATAAGTATGGTGATCCTTAAAAGCCGGATGACCTGAATTATTTAATAAAAGTATTGTGAGGAATAAAAAAATAGCAAAATTTTATCTATAACTAAACATATATTAAAAACCTATATAAAAAATACTTAGTTTTGTGTTTTTCTTCGCCTTGAGTCTAGAAAATTAGAGGAAACTTGTGTTTTTTTAATATACATATAAATCATTTGTTCTTCTTTGCAATAATAATGAGTGCATGTTTGCTTTTATGTTTTGCAAACACTTAACATTAAGCTAAATCTTCTTTATCGTAAATCTAGGTATCCTTTCATCGTAATACTTAAAAGGCTATATATATATATATGGCTTCTCAGACGTCCTCTTCTCTGATCCTCTTCACCTCGAACTGAATTCTAAAGTAATGAAGGTTGAGCAGAGGGCTCTTAGTTGAACCATAAAGAAAAAACACAATTCTCACATAAGTATTGTTTGAATTTAGTGACAACTGGATCCAAGAAAGGCCTATGCATATAAAGCAAACTAATGGCAATGTATCTTTGTCTTTGTTGATGTTGTTCTCAGTACTTTCATTATCTTCATCTTCAACTCCCATAGTTTTATTTCTCATTCTAAATTACTCTGTCTCTTTCTCCTCATTCTTTATCTTCAGCCTGGTTTGTATCCTCACGGTCACGTGAGACTTACCCATCTTCATACCCACATAATCCGGTATCTTTGTAATCATTTCAATTATCTGAAAATATTCGATCAGACAGTTGGCTATAGTTAATATATCGCGGATATTCCTTACTTATTGTTTAAAGACAAAAATTGAAACTCTTGTTGATAGTGTGTTAGGCCCTGTTCGTTTCTTCATTCAACTGAGCCATTTGGATGAAGCTGAGCCTGTTGTTCGTTTTGACACAAAATGTACGGCTTATTTGAATGGTTCAGTTGAATGATTTTCGAAAATCTAGTTTTAATTTGAAGAATCAGTTGATTGAACCGAATCGGACCATTTGACTGAATCTGGTTCAGTTAAAATCATAAAATGTTACCCTTAGTTCAACTCAAATATTACAAACCTATTTTTTTTTTTTTTTTCAGTCGTAAGTCTTTCAGATCTCATTCTCTCCTTCTCTCGCCGCCATGAAAGGAGCTTGAAGCTTCACCTCACTGTCGCTCTCTCATCTCTCTTGCAGTCTCTCATATCTCTCGCCCTCTCTCTCCGTGTCTCTCTCTCTCCGCATCTCTCTCTCCACGTCTCTCTCTCTCTCCGCGTCTCTCTCTCCACGTCTCTCTCTCCACGTCTCTCTCTCTCTCCACGTCTCTCTCCGCCTCTCTCTCTCGCCTCAGCTCACTCACTCTCAGGTATCTCTCGCTCTCTCTCTATATATCTCTGGAGCTTGTGTGGGAGCTTGTGTGTTCATAGATAGATCTCTGAATTTTCATGAAATTTGATCTGTTTGTTGATGGGTTTGCTTGGTTTTCAGAATGTGTTCATGAAATTTGATATGTTTGTTGATGGGTTTTCTTAGCTTGATTCATATGGTTCGATACCAGGTGTGTTTCTGATTGTTCCCCATCTATACTGGAACTTGATTTCTGATATGCGTTTTCTGTGAAAAGTTTTTAACCCTTTTCTCATGGGTTTACTATGTTCTGATGTTACTTGTATCTCGTGTTTACTGATGATGGATTTGAAGCATGAGAACTTGCTTGTGTTCATTAACTCTCGTTTGTTCATAAAGCTTGTTTGAGATTCTAAATTCGTTGTGCTCTGAGTTGATGGGTTTGCTTCTGTTTATGTTATATGGGTTTCCTTTTTGAATTTGTCATGGATTTATGCTTGAGAATGTTTTTACAAATGTAAAGGGTGATGTATTGAGAATCATTGTCTTGAGAATTGTTGTGTTCTGATGCTTCTGTCTTGAGCACTTTTTGCTTTAAAGTAGAAAACTTCAGAGAAGTTTTGTGTGTTTTTGTTGTAGACAAACAGAAACATTCAAGAGAGAATACAGTGTTTACAGAATACAGTGTTTAATAATCTTTATTATTTTTAATTTGGTGCTTGTACGTATGATAAGGTCTTTTGTTGTTATGAAATTTATGTATCTTCGAGTCTCTTGTACATCAACATAGGTGAGAGACTCTTGCAAACTGTGGTAATAGTTTCTTTGAATCGAGAATGTTTTTTTTATTTGTGTCATGCGTTCAACATTCAGTGTTCATTTTAAACATGTTAGAATCACTTTATTTTGGTGTTTGTGTGTACTATAAGGTCCTCATATTGTAGCTTTTATAATGTAGCTTGAATCTTATTCACTTCCATAGTGTTAATAGATATGTAATGCTTTTATGCGCCTATGTTTCTTGTTTATTGATTGATTTTACATGGTAATGCATGGTTCAAGTGAGTGTTCTTTTTAGGTAAAGGAACTTGATTACCTTTGTTGTTCCTTCACTTATATATTAGTGTTGTTTGTTTTAAAGTAAACATGTTGCTTTCACTTATATTAAGTGTTGTTTGTTTTAAAGTAAACATTTTAAAGTAATACGTCTTATGCGTATTAATATTTAAGGAAACGAGGGGAGTGGAATAAGTGATGAAGCGTTGGAGTTAGCAGATTTGTATTGCAGTATTCCAATGAAGGGAATGGTTGATTCGTTTAATGTCTCAGTTACTTGGACCGCAAGCTATCTTGTAAATTTCAGTTTTATAAAACTTGAGTTTCTACTTTGTGTTTCTACTTTGAATGTTTACAAGTTTATTCAAATTTGAGTTTTCACATTGAGTTTTATTAGAAGCTATAAATTTTAATGCAATTTAAATAAAGGAGTGAATGAATATATGATTTTTTATAAATTTATGTGAAATAAATAATTATAAATTTATATGAAATAAAATTTTATAAATGTAAAAATGAAAATTTTAAAATAATTCTAGTGTAAATATATTTTAGACTAAATAATATTCATTAGTAAAGTTAAAATTAATATCAGACATGTGATTAAATCAAAATAAGGGTACGTTTGTAATTTGTTTATCAAACTCATTTGAATGGAAATAAAAAACAAGAAACAAACATAAACTTCATTCAAATGATTCATTTAAATGATTAATTTTGATGGAGAAACGAACAACCCTTAAAATGGAACTGAGCCATTTGGATGGATCACATAGATGAATCAGCTGAATGGAAATTACAAATGGACAAACGAACAGGGCCTTAGAGTTGTATTGGGAAGTGATGTGTTTGCGCAGCAGATAATTGTATGAGTTAGTGTGTTAGAGTTGTATTGGAAGCATTTTGCGCAGCAGATAATTGCTGCAACACCCTTGGACTTGCACTCAGCAGCTGCTCTTATTAACCAACGGCAACTGAATTCTACAAAAGCTCTGGTGATCAAACTTGTTCTACAGTCAGCCATCTATCTTATCTGGAGAGAAAGAAATGCCCGGATCTTCACATCAACTACTACATCAGCTTCTGGTCTCCGTCGTGCTCTGGACCGTCTTATTCGTGACCGCCTCATCTCCTTCCCATCTTCAGATCAGTCTCCTTCGTCACTGCAGTTCTATTTCTCGTGTACTCAACCTCCTTGAGGTCCGTCCGCGCTTGAGTTTGGTTGTATTTGTTTTTATTCAGTTTTGTTTCTTTCATTATGAATAAGTTGTACGCAACATCTAAATCTCGAAAATGGTATAAATTTAACATTTTACAAAAAAAAAAGTGATGTGTTTGTTACTGTTGTTTGCTTTTTAAAAATGTTTTGCGGGTGGAAACGATTGTATGCCTCTAAACTTATTTTAGTATATAATACAGGTGAATTTTATTTATCTATTAGCGAAGAAGTAGTCGGCTAACATATTTTAAACATACACAAATTGGGTTTTGTTTTGTAAATGTTGTATGATCTTGCATGATTTGCTTAGTTATAATTAGTTAGACTAGGATAAGACCCGCGCCTTGCGCGGGATGAAGCTATTATTTTTATTATGTTTTGAAAAATGAATCAATAGTTCGGTTTCATTCGGATTAGAAGTGTTCAATCCGGATATCGGGTTTCGGTTCGGCTCGAGTTTTTGGTATTTCGATTATTAAAATATAACTATTATTCTAAATATATATGTAGTTCAGTTTGATTTGGTTTATATACCATCGGTTTTCAGTTTATTCAATTTTATACCAAAAAACATGATTATTTAGTTTGAGATCATATTATATATTATACAAATATATAATATGATCATATTTAGAGTCATATTGTCACAGAGTCATTTATTAAAAAATATTATATATTTAAATTAAAGAATAAAAAACAAAAGAGGCTTGTATGATCTAATAAAATGATCAAATCTAGAATTAATATCAAAACACTAAATTTTGAAAATAAAAATAAAAAACAAAACAGAAGCATGAAAGAAAAGTTTTTATATTCTTCCATATTTAGTGTTAATCAAACCAATATGTCTTCGATTGAACACAACTCTGTTTGTTTAAAGATAAAAAAAGTTGTAAAGAATTTCAACTAATTTTTGTCCATCAAATTTATAATCTTTACTTCAATTTAGTTACTGTTAAAAAAGATCAAAATAAGAAGTCTAAGTTGTAATAAATTGTTAGCTATTTACAAATTATAATTATAGTTCAACTCATGTAACAAATAGATATTCATGCGTCGTTATAAATATATACATATTTACATGTTTCAGTTTAATCGGTTATAAATCAAACCATATCCAAATCCTATGGTTTTTATAAAATCACATCCATTCGGTTTGTATGGTATATACCAAAAATAACCANTCATGTAACAAATAGATATTCATGCGTCGTTATAAATATATACATATTTACATGTTTCAGTTTAATCGGTTATAAATCAAACCATATCCAAATCCTATGGTTTTTATAAAATCACATCCATTCGGTTTGTATGGTATATACCAAAAATAACCATATTATCGATTGTTAATATCTTTTAAAAATATAAAATTAAAAAAAAAGAACTAAGAAATTTAAATCATTTATAACAAAAATTTTCAATGTGAAAAATTTAATAATTTAATAATTTATAAATGTTCTTGAAAATTTATTGTGGATTTTGAAATTAAAATATTTATGTAATCTTATATGGTATATAGTTTAATCTGTATATATATTTGTTTTATTATTGAATGATACTTTTTACTTATATGGTTTTAAAATCATGTATATCTTTTTTATAATAAAAATGTTAAACTATTGATCATTAATTTTTAACATAATAATTTTAATATTTTAGTTATTTATTCTCGTTTTTTAAAATTCAAAATATAACCTATAGGAAAAAAATCTAAAATTTAATTTTATAGCTAATATGATTGTTTAATTTATTTTAATAATATAAAATTAAAGAAAAATGATGGAGGATATATAAACTGTAATCAAATATTTATTATTAGAATCATTAAGTGTCATATATATATATATATATATATATATATATATATATATATATATATATATATATTAGTCATTTATGGTAATTCCGTAGGTTTTATTTATGGAAAGAAAATAAAATAGTAATATATCTAGGGGAACAATCATAAATGTTTCTATCATAAATATCATATCATATCATCATATCATATAATTTGACCAACGAATGTATCTAGCGAAATATAAAATTCGAACGTAGACTTACTTATTTTTCAATTGAATGTAACTGATTACCTAATTGAGTGACACCTAAGCATTGGGTCTTTTTTAATTATTACAAAATTGAGGTTACAATTTTTTAAATGTTTCTCCTTTAATATATAAGGGATTAGTATACAATTTGTGGGAGTTTGACCGAGGCGGATGGGTTTTTACTGAAATGTTTGGTCTTGCTAGTATATACTTGCATGTCACGATTTGAGGAATGTATAAGTTTATTATTTCACGTGTGAGGAGGATACATGGTCATGTCTTGGAATTTATAAGCACTAGTTGCATACCCCCGCGCAAGCGCGGAGTCGGGGATCATTGATGTTTGCCTGTGCTTTTTTCGGTTGTTGGTTTAGTGGGTTATTCTAATAATACCAAATAATGATGAAATAGAAAGAATATAGCAAGAATGTAAAGTGAAAATATTATATATATAATGTGTTAAATGTTATTTATATGCGAAGTAAGGTTTATAGGAATAACGAAATTATAATATAGTTTCTAGTGTATAATAATAGGTGTCTATCTTGTTTTTTATTTTATTTTTATGTTGGAAATAGTTTTAATATCTGATGTCAAAACTTGATATAATTATTTATTTATAGTATTTATATTTGTACTAAACGATTTATCAATTTGCAAATAACTTTAATTTAAGCTAATATTTGTTGTTTGGGTTTCGATAGATAGGTTTGGATATGTTTTTTTGTAAGTTTGGATTTTGTTCACGAATAATGTGGCATTTTTATTTATGGCGTCATCGACTGTGAAAATCCATTCGCCGGAGTCTGATAAAAATGAAATTATAGTAACTATTAAAAATTGAAGAGAAATTACATAGTTATTTTATAAATAACAAAAATACTTAAATTTTGTTGTTTTATTTTATTTCACATACATAATTTTTTGAAAACATATATTAGAAAATATGTTCTAACAGAAATATATATTAGGCATGATAGTGCCGCGTGAGACTCGTTTTGCTTTTTTTTTTTGGCTGTTCGTTTTTTTATCACTTTTTAATTGTTTTTGGGTTTGAGTTCGTCAAACTTTAGAATTTTTTTATTTTAGAAATAACAAAAAATACTTAAATTTTGTTGTTTTATTTTATTTCACATACATAATTTTTTGAAAACATATATTAGAAAATATGTTCTAACAGAAATATATATTAGGCATGATAGTGCCGCGTGAGACTCGTTTTGTTTTTTTTTTTGGGCTGTTCGTTTTTTGATCCTTTTTTAATTGTTTTTGGGTTTGAGTTCGTCAAACTTTAGAATTTTTCCCACTATTTTGGGTTTTAAACAATAAGTCCAGAGGAAAAAAAACATAAAAACATTAAAACTAAAAAAACCATATGCTAATAATTCAAAGAAAAAAAAAACTAAAATACATAACAACTGCGCGGTTTGAACCCACACACTTGTGAACTTCATTAGATACCTTATACCACTCAGCTAAAGTATATTCATTGTTCATAATCATTTTAAAACAGACTATAAGCTTTAAAATTTTAAATGTGCGGGATCCACAAACTTGCTGACGTGGACAGCTTTAAAAGTCTTAGAAGTGAACTATTATAATATAGATTTCAATTATTTTCTCAGAAGTAGAAAACAAATATATATTATTTACTTATTGGTCAAGGGAAAAAATTAATACTCTTACAATCATTGCTAGTTTGCTACACATGTGACTACAATTTTACTAATGCTCGTACAAACATACAAGTGAAAAGGAATGTTACGCTCAAGATGAATGTACCAGAGTCACCAGTCACCAAAATCAATCCAAGAATCACACGGCTGCAGAAGAGGAAAAGATTTAGATAACTTTTACTTATGAATCCACACGGAGAATATTTCAGGGTCATTACTCGTGTAGACAATGATCTGTATCACAAAAATTGAAAAACTGTAACAGAAGATGATTAGATAAGATCCTAAGATTTAATACATTAGTTAACAGTTGAGAAACCTGCAGTGGAAGATGATGAGCTTGCAGGAGTTATAGAAAAGCTCATCTTTCAAGACTTAGAAACATTAAAAAAGATACAGATTTGTGACTTAGCGAGACCAAGATTTGTCAAGAGGTAAGCATAATGATTGAAACTGTGATAAGCGCCACCTTTCTGCGATAAAGGAGATGACCTATTACATTGTTTTCTAGATTTTGACATAAAACTTCTGTAACAGACGGGTTGTTCTTACACGGGATTGAGAACGTCTCTCATGTCATTGGAGCTATTAGTGATTTTCCCAGTGATGGCAGCTACAGAAGAACTCAGTATCACTTCCTTCAATCAGTTTGATTTCCGTTTGGACGTTGCAAGTAAGTACACATGAAGAACTCCCAAATTCTTTGCTGAAGCAAGTTCCTCTGGAATAGCTTTAAGCTGAGAACCGTGTTATCAGCTTGCCTCATCATATATGCTAAATTTAACTGCAGAGCTGAAGAGAAATCAAATTGAAATCAAGAAAAGAGGAAACAAAATAAATGAATTACCTATTCCAGTGAATCTTCACAAATCAAAGCAAGAATTTTGAACTGATATGATCAATATACGTAATGTTCTTCTCCCTCTTGTTGAGTGTATTGGGAGCATCAGTTTTTTTACATCGCACCTTGAGCTTCAAGCTGAACCTATCCTCCTGTCCAAACCACTCTCGATTCACCATGCTTAATCCCCGCCGCCATCTTCACTGTCGCCAGAGTCAGATCTGATGGAGTCTTTATGGCTCTAGCCCTGTCTCCTGTAAATCACCATCATTAAAACGATTCAGCAGGTAGAGAGAGAGAGAGAGAGAGAGAGAGAGAGAGAGAGAGAGAGAGAGAGAGAAAGAGAGAGAGAGAGAGAGAGAGATGAAAATAAGTTTCCGGTGTTGTTAGAACTTGTGGGCATGATGTTCGATGGAAGAAATATTACCTTTTAAGGAGATAAGCAGCAATGAATGATGGATTGTGCATGTTATGGTCGAAGAAGTAAAGATGGTTGGTAATCAGACTTCATAGGATCCCATGACGTTTCAGAGGCGAATATGTTCACACGAAACGACACTAATGAAACTTAAGCAGAATTTCTCATGACGATTCCGCTCGCTCACAATCCTGGAAGATGAACCTAGCCATCACGAAGAAGCTATTGTTCCCCTTTCAATCAAACTGGCCATATTATCGTGCATGTTATGGTCGAAGAAGTAAAGATGGTTGGTAATCGGACTTCATAGGATCCCATGACGTTTCAGAGGCAAATAAGTTCACACGAAACGACACTAATGAAACTTGACCAGAATTTCTCATGACGATTCCGCTCGCTCACCATCCTGAACGATGAACCCTACCCATCACGAAGAAGCTATTGTTCCCCTTTCAATCAAACTGGCCATATTCGTTAGAAAACTAAATAACAATAGAGGAAGCCCAAAATTGTTATTGTAAAAGTCCATATAAGTGAAACCAAACACAACGGAAAACTTGTAAAGTAACACGTGGCAGATTCTCAGTTCACTATTTTATGACATGGCACATTCTAGAGGGAATAAACTATTCTTTATAATAATAGATTTAAGTTTATCTTTTCTATATGAAGTGTGTCAATATAGTTTTCTAAACTACTAATTTTTTTTTCAAAGTATTTTTAGAGAATCCATTTTTAATATGTTCTGTGCTTTTTAATTGGATATATTAGTGAATATATTATATATTTAAAATTGGATTTATTGAAATTTTATTCCATTTATACTCGATTAGTTTTTTCAAAAAAAATATAAACTTTAATGAACATAAAATACAGTAAAAATTCTATAAATTAATAATGTTAAGATTATAATATTTAGTTAAGTTATAAAGTTATTGATTTGAAAACTATCATTTTTAGATTTTAGGTATATACAAGAATAAAATTTTAGAAACTTGATTTTCATGTTTTTTTAATATTATTTGGTGTATATGAAATCGGTTTCACAGAATTTAAACGTTGTTTAAAATTTAACTTTCCTAAATACTATTAAAAATAATATTGAAATGTTAAGAAAATATATAGATATTTCCATTGTAAATACAAAATAACAATAAAATGTTTTGTTTGTACATATATAAAGTATATATATATATAAGTTCTTAAGTTATAATTGTAACGAGACCATATAATTAGTTTTTTTTAATTGTTATCTTATCGATTTATGTCATATTTTGAACCGGTCTAACTTGAAACGAAGAAATTATTAGTTTATCATGTTTATTAATTTATCGAGTATCAGTTTATAAAGTTACTGATTTGATGAATGAAATCTAGAGAAATAATTATTAAGATATTCTTTAGAAATCTTCATAGTTGGAAAATTGGTTAGTTTATATATTTGGGAATATATTATTTAATGAAATAGAAAAGTTATTGTAGTTACAGCTTTATGGAATCATATATATTATGGTATATTTATTAATGATTTTTGAAACTATGTTGACATATCTATTCTATTAAACTAGAGTCATTCTTTTTATCTACTGATACAAGTTATCATTTAAATTTGGACCTTTTCTAGAGTGTTACAAATAATACAAGTTATATAATTGATTGAATCGCATTACTTAAATTAAACCGGCGGTTATTTATGCAATAGAGTTTTGGGTTTACTTTTGTTTATATGATATCTAATTGTTTGGTTTTTGGGCTTAGTATTAAAGAAAAACTCCAAAAAACATTAAATAAACTTTCCACTTTAATGGATCAAAAATCAATTACTATTTTCAGGCCCAGAAATATTTAATATATTCAACAAAACAAAATTATTTATTATTAATCACTTATTTAAATCATGTACTTTCAAACATGTTAATATTTTATGTTAATATTTTTAGCCCAAAAATATTTAATATTTTCAACAAAACAAAATTATCTATTATTAATCACTTATTTAAATCATGTACTTTAAAACATGTTAATATTTTTTATTTTAAATAAAAATCACTCTATCTTGATAAATTTTAATGGTAACTTTTAAATTATTATTTTTTTTTCTTAAATAATTTACAGATTTAAAAAGAAAATGTAAAGCAAAACCAAAAACCAAATCTAAAAACTAAAATCCAAAACCAAAAGCTGAAAACACAGGTTATATTTTTTGTTTTTTTTTTATTACAAAATAAACTATTTCAAAAATTTTAGAAAATTATTTTGTCATCTTTTCAGTTTTAAATTACATGTTCGATTAATTGAGATTTGTTTGTTGGTAATATTAGTTCAAACTAACTTAGCAGGTCTAAAAGTTAAAAACCCAAACGAAAAGCTGAAAATCAAAAATAAAAACTTAAAAACTAAAAACAAAAAACCAAAATTTACAACAAAATCTAAAAATAAAAACTGAAACTAAAAATTTATGAAAAACAACTATCACCATAAATTTTGGTGAACTGATTTTATCCCAAAACATTCTTTAAATTAAGATAAAACCCAATTACATAAATTTTTAATCATAAAAAATTTCTGCACTTGAATTATAATTTTTGCTTTTTTTTTTTATTACAAAATAAACTATTTCAAAATTTTTAGAAAACTATTTTTTCCTATTTTCAGTTTTAAATTACATGTTCGATTAATTGAGATTTGTTTGTTGAGAATATCAGTTCAAACTAAATTAGCGGATCTAAAAATTAAAAACTCAAACCAAAAGCTGAAATCAAAAATAGAAACTTAAAAATTAAAACCCGAAAAATCAAAATCTAAAACAAAATCTAAAAATCAAAATTGAAACTAAAAACTAATGAAAAACAATCATCACCACAAATTTTGGTGAACTGATTTTATACCAAAACATTCTTTAAATTAAGACAAAACCCCAATTATATAAATTTTTAATCATAAAAAATTTGGGTAATATCAGTTCAAACTAACTCAGCGGATCTAAAAATTAAAAACTCAAACCAAAAGGTGAAATCAAAAATAGAAACTAAAAATTAAAACCCAAAGCTTCACTGCAGACACCCGACTGATTTAAAAATTAAAACCCAAAGCTTCACATGCAGTTGAAGGAGATCGAGGTCTAGTTGCAGCCAAAGCTTCACTGCAGACACCTAACTGATTTCTTTGGAAAAGTCTCTCAGGTTTTTTCACAAAGATGGATGTCAAAAAGTGCACATATCTTTAACAACAATTTCTTTAAAATATATGAACCAAACAGTACCATATCGGGCTCCCGATAAAAGCTGGTGCACTAGTTAGTTGCAGACAGAATTGATAAGCATCATGCCCTTCACTCCGTCAAACAATAACTTGAGTTAGATTCAAGTCATAACCTTGCTTTATTCTAAAACGTGAATATAGGATCCTTAGAAAAAAACACACCTATAATTGTGGAAACCAAGCAATGGGATTAATGTCAGTATATGTTATAATCCTGCTATTGCGAGCAAACACAACCTGTTTTTGCAAGCAGAAAACATCAGTTAAGCTGGAAAACATAACACTGCAAGAATAAAGACTGACATTCGTCACTAAAATATTTTGCTAGATGAACTTTTTTCTTAATCATTTCCAAACCCTTCTTTACAGCAGAAAATATGATCCTTTTGTGGGAACATGATTCTTGCTAAGTACATATACTCCTAGAAAGTCCCTTCGTATTTTCATAACAACAGAAGAAACCTGACACTACAAAGTTCGATAGACCATTCAATAACTTTATAGCAGAAGTTGTTCTAGATTTACCTGAAGCATAGTCTCCTAAAGTGCTTCATTAGTATTTGCCAGCGTCCAAGACAGTTCATTGTCCCAAGCAAGAGTTGCAGCCAACATTGAGCTTCCACCAAACTCATTAAATTCAACCTCTATTTGCATCAGCCAATTTTACGAAGCATACATATTAGTCAAACAAATCTCCGCCTCCAGAAATCAGTTCAAAGATTCAAATTTTTAAGGTACATGAGGAACAACAAACTAAAGGGTTTCCATTCCACAGAGATCCTGCCTTTAGGATCAAACCGCATCCCACCAAAGGCATGGAGCAGAGGTAACGTAGACGACAGAAACCTTCAAAATTGTTAGCCACTCAACAATCAGATCACTAAGAAGCGAAAAAATCGCAAAGCTTGTTACTTTACCTTCGGATGGATCTCCAGTCATCGTGAGAAAAAGGGTGAAAGTGGCAGAAGAACACTGCAGAATCGATACCGGCGACGAGTACTAGATCATGACCTGATGAGCTTCTGTTACTGTTCTCATTCTCAATATTGGCGAAGTCGTGAAGAAGATTGGGACAACCAAACATTGCTATGGCGAGAGAAGAAGCAGCAAAGCTGATTTTCGTTCGATAGTTGAAAGACCCATTTAGTAATCTGTGAAACTCAAAAATAAAACTCAAATGTAAAGAATTAGAAAAGTACATGTGTCCCTCTCTCCTCTCCTTATTTAATGGGATAGCAGCCTCAAAAAAAACTTCAAAAATAAAAAAAAAAACTCTTTTTATATAATAACTAAGATAAAATCCACCATACGACCGGGTATGCAAATAAAAATAGTTAAAACTATATTAATTAGTATAATACATGTTAAATTTTTCCTTTAAAATGAAACTAATATCACATTGACTATTCTTTTTACCAGTGAAGGGTACTCAAAAGCCTGTGACTTTTGTTTGTTTGAGTTTAACCTTAGAGGATTTGTTTGAAATTGAATGTAGGCTATGGTTCAGAGAGTTAAAGCATATGATTTGATTGATTACATGTAGTCACTTCTCTACGGGTTGTATTAGGTCGGAAAAGATGAATTTTAGTGTTGTTGGTGTGTTCAATGTAGGTTTCTGATATAATCAAAAAAAAAAATGTAGGTTTCTGATTAGCTAAAAAGTGTTTTTTTTTTGTTTTTCAGCATTATGGTAGAGAAGAAGAGGGACGTATTGTTTTTACAGATTATTTTGGTTCAATGACGCTTACATGCTTAATTTCTAGGGAATTATGTTAATATAGAACAAAAAAGCAGCCTTCATGTCCCATTAGTATGAATTACTTTTTGTCCATTTTTTCTCCCTTTTACCCTTTCTATTTACAAAAATTAATAAAATAAATAATTCTATATGACTCGAAAAAATATATAAAAATACATAGAAGTGATGAAATACTTATATATACAAAGTGATATTTTTAATATTTTCAAAAACTTGTTAAATTAAAAATTTTAATTACGTTCTATGGAGAGTATAACTCATATTCTACGAAAAATCGCATAGTAGAACTTATATTCCTCGTTAAACAGTAAACTCTACAATTTTAGGAAGTTATATTCTACGTTTGTATAGGACTCTACATATTTTAGAATCTATATTCTACGTTTATATAGAATTCTACAGAATAACTGAATGCGGGTTCTACATTTTAAGTCACTTCGACATATCTCAGAATACGTAATCTACAAATAACTCAAACCTCTACTATTAGTAGAATTTGCTTACAGTGGGACGTTAGTAGGTCTACTTTCTGTAGAAGGTAGCTTCTACGGATAAGATTAAACAAAAATCCGAAATTTTGGGAAAATATTTAGGAAAATATTCAAAAAAGATTTTTTAATAATCTAGGATCGGGATCGATCGATCTGAAATAGAGATCGACCGATCAATGATAGATCGATCGGTGAAGATTGACTGAACTGGACAAGGTCGATTAGTTTGCTCCGTGCTTTTTTATGTTTTTATTTAATCATCGAGATCGGCCGTTGGGATCGACCGACTCTTTCTGGGATCGATCAATCCCGTCATTCGAAAGATGTACTTTAACTTACAAAGATCATTACTCAATTTGGGTGGGTTTATATGGATGTCCATAGACTAATGTTTGGGATCGATTGATCTAAAATAGAGATCGGTCGATCTATGATAGATCGATCGGTAAAGATCGACTGAACTGGACAAGATGGGATGGGTATTTTCGGCTGATAATAAAGGGGTAGGTTACAGTTATTGGAAACAAGTTCTACATTGGAGGATTTAAAGAGAATGGTGTTGGAGGATTTTAATATGGAAGAAACCAAATTGGTCGATTTGGAGTTGAGTTATTTACCTTCTAACTTGATCAATACATCAATTTGTCCACCAGTGATCTTTATTCATGTTTCTTGCATTGTAATGGATTGGTCATAAAAAAAACAATTTTGGCATTGGAAGTAATAGTTTTGGAAAAAGGATAGTAAGCATTGATAACTTGATGTTTCTTGCAACATGAAAAGGGTCTTGCAAGTTGCAACTAGAAAAGAAGAATCTTACAATACAAACACATAACTTGGAAGGAAATATATTTTTGGAAGGGAGAGATTTAGAGTCTCTAAATCTTGTTGAATGCGGCGATGTAAACACTCTGGATGTACTCGTTGTTAGGGTCACAGGTGAGGTAGTCTTCAATAAGATTGTCTGGCGACATGAGGTCATCAACAATTGTGAGCATGATCGTGAGCTTCTTGATCCCATAACCAACTGGTACCAGTTTTGCTGCAACAGTTTAAACAGTAGAAAACACTAGATTATGAAGCTGTCCTACACATATAATTCAAAACTTAAGCTCATTTTGATAGCGGACATACAAGCTCCCCATAAGAGACCTTGCATCTCAACAGCACGGACACACGCCTCAAATTTCTTCATGTCAGTCTCATCATCCCATGGCTTAACTTCCACGAGCACAAATGACTTTCCACCTAACAAAAAGTTCAAATTTCAATAAGAGAATAAGATGCAGTTAATCAGTTATCACATGTGTTTTACATCAAAAAACAAAAGAGAGTGCTTACTCTCTTTGGGCTACTTGGTGTCCTACTTAGCAGCCTCCCTCTCCTCTGCAGCTTTTTTTTCCTCCCATGTCTCGTCACCAAAAAGATCCATGTCATCATCATCATCATCATCTACCAAACACAACTGAGTTGATCCCTAATGTTACTGTACTAGATAAGAACTATCAACGTATAAAAATGTTCTTCATAACTACAGTGATCACCAAATCAAAGCATTATTCAAAACTATGCTATCACCATATGAAAGCATTGACATAAGCTTGGATCATGCCATTGCTTAATAATAAAGAACATAGATTAAGATTCTAACAAGACTCAAGCATTGATAGTTTTGACTTTTACCTTGATTCTACTGATGTCGGAGAAAGAGAGGCAGAGAGAAGCTATGTTATTGTCTTCTGTTCGTTGAGAGAGAGAATGAGAGAGAGAGAGAGAGGAGAGATGACGAGAGAGAGAGAGAGGAGAGATGACGAGAGAGAGAGAGAGAGAGGAGAGATGACGAGAGAGAGAGAGAGAGGAGAGATGACGAGAGGGAGAAGGACAGAGAGAGCTGAGGGGAAACATAGAAGAGAGAAGGCGAGACGTAGAATTAGGGTTACGGGACTTGATTTGTTCGCTTTTACTTTTTATTGTTGTAACTTTTTTTCTTTTTAATCTATTTGACGTTAAATGTTTAAAATATGTTTAATTAAATTAATGTAAGGTTAATTTTGGGATTATGAAAAGATTTATACTATAAGAACAAGGACAAGTAGGTTTTATATATACTAATGGGAAATGAATACTGTTTTTCTGTTCCATATTAGCATAACTCCCTTTCTATAATTGTTGCAGCAAAATCAGAATCCGTTTAATAAAGGAAACAAAATTGTTTAATAAAGGAAATTATGATGCAAATGTCATTTTAACATTTTCTCAAGACCAATTCTATTTTTATTATAATCTGCAAGTGAAATACAATAATTTACTCAAAATTGTAGTTGACATTTAACATATAATTTATGAGTTATTAGGCGTTTCCTGCACAACATGCAGTGATAATTTTTTAAAAATTTAAATTATATTTAAAAATAAAATGTATTAATATTATATATTTAATTATTTTGACCAATATTTAATATAAATTTGATTTAATTAAACATAATTCAGACATTTTTTTAATTTTAAAATATATTAAGAATATATATATTTAAAATCATAATTTTAGATAAAATTTATTTATCTATTTGTTTTGGTTAAATATATTAAATCAAATTGTATAAAATTACTAAAATATTCATATAAAAATTGTATAGGTATCAAAATTAAAACTAAAAATATTTATAAAATATGTAAATATCTATCAGAAAGTATTGATATTACGATTAAAAATTCTTATTTTTTAAAAAATTGTAAACATTTTTAGTAGTAAAAATCGTATAATTATAACAATAAATTGAATGATATTTCGAAATTTATATTTTTATATTTTAATATATTTTTGTGTTTCTTTATGAGTTACTACCATATTATAAAAGTTTACCAAAAACATAAATAATATTAAATGTAATATATGACTTATTTTCATATTCTTCAAAGTTTACAAAAAAATATATATCATCACTATATGAGTTATTGTCATATTCTATAAATTTTACCAAAAATATATATTATCATTAAATGTAATTATCCATGTCAGATTACACCATAAACCATGTTATATTTTTTATATGCCATGTCATATTAATTTGGTTAAAATGATTGTAGAGATGACGTGTGTCAAAATCACTTCGCAAATAATATCTAGAGAATTTGTACAATGTACATCATATATTGTATTTTTTGAATCGTTTGAGACTTTTAGTCTTTGTTATACATTTTCTTTTAAACATATTGATTCAGATAATACGAAACAATAAAATAATTGATGCACTACAAAAAAAAAAGTAATCAGCTAGATAGTATAAATATATAATACTAATCGCCACTCTTTAAAAGTATCATATTTATTTGAATTATTTATCAAATAAACATATTATCCAAACTGATTTTCTTTTAAAAATACAAAGCTTATTGTCCGGTATTTGGGGATTCCCTTTGACTTGTCAATGAGTGCTTTAGTTTCAGAATATAATTAGTGATTGTTTTATGGCAATTCTCTTAAATAGGTCTCTTTTAAGTTTTTATCACAAAAATAGACCTCAAAAATTAAAATGACCAAAATAGTAATTTTTATTTTGAAAATTTTAATTTTTTATTTTATTTTTAAATTCAAAACTCTATCCCCAAAACCCCACTACTTAACTCTAAACAAAAAAAAAAAGTCCAAGATTAGTTAACCCAAGGGTATAAATGTATATTTAATAAAACATTTAAGTGCTATTTTGGTCATTTTTATTGTTAAGATCTATATTTGTGGTATAAATTTTTAGGTCTATTCTAGTCATTTTCTCTTGTTTTATTCCTATTCTATTATTCTTCTGCGCTCAATTTTATATTATTTTATGATGTATATAACTAACATATTTTAATTTAATAAATTTACTAATTATTTTTTAAAAAACTCTGTTAGCTTTTTTATTAAGTATTTAGATTATTTAAAATAATATATGTCATGTTTAAAAATATAGTATATTCTATAATTTCGAATCAAGTCACATTTGTTCACCGAGTCATTTTTTAAATATAATCATATCATCTAAAATACAATGAAAACATATAAAATAAAGAAAGGCTTTAGAATATAGACTTTCTTATTTACTAAAATGCAAGAAAATAGTGGGTAAAGAGGTTTTTATTCTTCACAAACTATGAAGTCTGAGAGTAACTCTACCGCACTTACATAATAAATCAATAAAAGAAAGAATAGTTTACTTAAATGACTCAAATTAGTCTACTAATTACTAGAATAACTCATAACTTTTTAAAATCACTAACTTTTTTTTAATGTCGAAACTGCCCTTTCTAACAGTTGTGAAGAAAATGTAATATTACGAAAGGGCCATTGGAATTTTTGAAAAAATCGACGTCGACAGATTTGTTTACGGAAAAATAAATCTGTCGATATTTAAATCTGCTAATTAAAACTGTTGTTAAATTTAAATCTACCAAGTACTTGATTGCAGACTTTAGAATTACGGCAGATATTTTTGAGGTGGCTGATTTATTTGACCGATTTATGGTTGTCAACCGATTTATATATATTAATCTGTCGCATATGTAACCGAGTTTTAAAAATTTCGAGGTTTATTTTGGATCAGTTACATTTTTAAGACCGATTTAAAATTAGAGGCAGATTTGTTTAGCCGATTTAGTTTTTTAATCGATTTTTGTATTCATTTGGTGGCAGAATTTTTGAATTTCTGTCTTTGACGGCAGACTTGTTGATTAAATATAATTACTAGATTAGGCCACATTAATTATACCAGACATAACCACACGAATTTTTGGTTAATTTCTCATATATTTTGGTTTATTTTGTACTGGTTCCGGTTTAGATGAATTTTGGTTTTACTTAATTTTTAAATTTGGTTTAAATCAAATTAATTTTCGGTTTAAAATTTTTTAAACAATTAGGGCTTCCCTGTTTTTTGTCGTCTTCTTCCTATTCCCTCTCACACAAGAATACATGAGACAGTTTCATGGTGATTAACGACAGGAGCTTATAATTCATATTGATTGGAGATGCTCACAGTCAAAGCATGGATGCACCTGTCAAGATAGGAAACGGTAGGCAGTTTCATATATTTTTGGGTCTCTGCAAAGTTGATAACCTTCGTCTGTGTGTAGAGTTTAAAGCGAACAAACTTGCTGCGGAAGGAGCTGGCGAAGATCAGAAACAACCCATACAGAAAGATGACTCGTTGGGTGAAGAAGAAGAAGATATGGATGAAGAAGGTGATCTACTAAAGGTTCAAGCAATAGACATGCACCAGTCACAAGTTACGTATTCCTTAATTATTTGATGTTATACTAAGCATTAATATTCGCAGGGCCGGATACCTATTGCGAATCTACTAAAGGTTCAAGCAATAGACATGCACCAGTCACAAGTTACTAGAGTTTCGTCTTTACATGTTGATTGCCCACTTCAGAATTGTTGGTATAATGAAAAGAGTGAAACAAAACTACATACACGTTGAATTATAATCGACCAAAGCACAAAACATGTGAAAAAATAAAATCATCCATCCATCCATCAAGCTATACGTACTACTACAAGTACTAAAATAAAAGCATCCAAGTTACTGTAGTAAAAGTACTTAAAATATCACAATCCAAATGACATGAACCATTGAATCATCCTTCCTCATCAACCTCTGCCACCTCTTCATAGATCTCGGCCGCCAACTTCATTCGGAGGGCCGGTATGATCTCATCACTTAACCCATTAAAACAACATCCAACAGCCAGACATTCGATGTACTTCAAAGAGTAGACACCACAGTCTCCTGGTTTTAGGTTCTGAGGGACATGCTTATGTTCTGGATTGGAGTTTTTCCAACATTGTATAAACGGGGAGGATATTTTTTTGTACCAAGATGACGCCATACCTGCAAAAACAAAGCACAATCAACAATGTAGAGATTATAAACTGAAATTACAACTCGAGTTTTGTTAAATTAAAACTCCAGTTTAGTGAAATTATAAAGGAAAACAGAACAAACTTTAACTGGTTCAAACTTAGACATAAACAGAAATTAAAACTCGAGTTTAGTGTCAAAGGTGATACTGGAATTAGGGATTTCGAATTTGAAATTAGAGTTTTAAATTAGGGATTTGGAATTGGGAATTAGGGTTTTCGATTTGAAATTAGAGTTTTAAATTATGGATTTTGAATTGGGAATTAGGGTTATCGATTTGGGAATTAGGGATTTCGATTCTTGAATTAGGGATTTATATTTAACATGCAATCAAAATCAATCGGGGATTTCGAATTGGGAATTAGGGATTTTGGATTGGGGATTAAGATTTTTGAATCAAGGATAAGGGTTTTCGATTTAACATGCTCAATCAATCAATCTATGCTAACAAGATGTGAAATAGAGTTCTCTGTTACCTTATTTGTCGACGACGGAGGTGGAGGACTTAGGTGAAATCGAGTCGTCCTCCCCGACGTGACAGAGACGAGGTCGATCTTTAGGCTCGACGACAGCAGAAACGAGGAAAATTTACGGCGGAGTGGTTGTCGGAGATGGGGCTTTTGGTGGTGGAGCTTACGGTGGTTTTTTATCGTGACTGAGAGAAAGAGTGGAGAAGAAGAAGAAGAAACCGACAGAAGGAAAAGTATCCCCTTTCTTTTTTATTTTTATTTTTCTATTTTGTTTTTAATTTAAAAGGATTGGGGTTAATTGGTAAAATTGTCTATTCCAGAGATTATTGTAGTAATTGTTATCTTATAGGAGTTAGTCTAGTATTTTTCCAACTAATATAAGTCATTCTGAGTAATTTCTCTAAAATAAATGAACTTGGTGAACGAGATTGAGAAAGAGGGAAACTAAAAGTGCAATATAGTACCTTTGTTGACCTGAACATGCATATACCTTGCTTCATCAGTTCAACCTGATCAATAAATTTTACCAAAACATAACTGTTGAGTAATGAAGATAAAACAGAGTCAAAATTGTTTGTTATCAAGTTGGCAATATCTTTAATCACTAACGTTTTTACTCGGTGTTTCCTGTCCTTGAAAATTCAAATCTTCATAAGCTTTAAATAAACAGTAAGGATAACCATGAGAAGAATTCAGAATCTTCCTTGAAAGGCTCCACCTTTTACCAATATCTCAAACAATATATCAAAAATGGAATACATAGCATTGATCCAAAGCAAAAAAGCTGATACATCTTTTATATTGAAATTAAGTTAAACTGACATGTTTTCCAATATTTCCCCTAGTGGTTCCATTTTTCATTCCAACTATCAGCATATTCCCACATTTCCACGATCCGATATGAATCCTATAAGGCAATCACAAAATCAGAATGTGCCTGCGATTTCTTGGCGTCTGCAATGTATTCTCATGTAGCATAAAATTCATTTTTCTATCCTAAAAGTTACACTCTTTCACTTTCTTTTTGTATCTAAGAAAAAATATTTGCAAAGATGTAACATTACCGTAAAGAATTTAGAACCAAGGTCAGAGAGGTATTCAGGCCTATATATTCTTGTATGACGAAGATAATTTTAGAGAAATCAAAGCAATAACCAAAGGAAAAAAATCATTTTGATCAATTTTATGAATTGTATATTTTTAATCAAAGAAATGGTTGACGTCGATAAGAAGAGACCACATATGGGCCATAAGCACTTTTTTTTTTGTTCACTACAGGTCAGAAGTTTAATTCCAATTAATTTCTAATTTAGTTAAAAATCCATATCCTAATAAGGTCGAGTCTTCCACTCCACTTTTGCTGCTTTTTATTTTTATTTTTTACAGTTCACCGCCGGTAATTTTTTCAAATTTTTGATAGCTTTATTTCGTTATGTTGATATCATTATTTGTGAATGGAAAATTGTATTAATTATCATATTCTTACTCGTAAACACATCAGTTTCCTTGTCAAAAAATACATGTGCTCCTGAGGTGGCATTCAAGAGAAAATGTATTGCAGAAAAATATCCCATGTGTATTTCAATAATATTAGGCTCTTCACATGTAAGCATTATTTTGAAAATTATAGTAAGTTATAGTATGAATTTTGTGTTCCTTAATTCCAGACATAAATATACCTTCTACTATCTCGGGGTATGCTACTTTCAAAAACAAACCTTGGATCTCCCGTCCTTCAAGTTTCTTGTGGAAAGAGACAGATTATGAATCAATCAGGCTCAGAATGACATATATTTTACCGTAAAAAGGAAGACAGAACATAAGATGGTCAACGTATATTCAAAAGGAAAGTTAGATAATTTGTGGAAGTATTAAATGTATTCAAACAAAGAAGGGAAATACATGTCGATCTTGATGGTCGCCATGACTCTCTCTTTCCCTTGAGGAATGTCTCACTCACTGTATTTTTCAATCTTTGCAGCAGTGAGTTCACCAATAACATCTGAGAGATTAAGAACATTATCATTTATTATTTGTCACAATGTAATGTCTGAGATAAACAATCTTTAAGAAGCTGTACCTGGAAAGTGAATCGTGATCTGGCTCTGGCTACACCAAGAGACATCAAATTGCTGAGTTTGAACAGTGAATCATCCTGGAGACGGTTCCTGAAAGTGGCTGGCCGGTGAACATTCACAGTGGCTGCAATGATGATTGACTGTAACAAATGTGAAAAGAGATCATTATCAACAAACTATATGTAAAAACAAAAATTATTTCAACTAAGATTAAATCTATATAAAAGCCTTCAAATAACCAAGAAGAACCGATGAGGTAGCCATGATTGGGGATTGGTTTTTGTTTTTGGAGAATTACAAAATGTGAGTATGATGTTCAAGGGTAGAAGGCTTTTATATGTGAAAAATCGCCTTCGAGTTGATGAGTATCATTGAATGAGATGTAGTGCTTGATTCGCGTCGGTGGAGTTAAGACATCTCTTAAATCCGATGAATGAAGACAACTCGTAACGTCGGGGGTTAAGGACCAAATGTGAATCGACGTCGGCTTGATACAAATGATTTTGATGACAATTCGTCTATCTAAATGTGAGAAATCTCCATTGTTGATCAAGCGAAGAAGAAGAGGACGACTAACCATAATCATCTCTACAGACTCTCGCGAATAACATGAAGCCCAACTACAAAATTAAAGTCCAAAAAGACGTGTTTCAGAATTAATAATGCATTGTATCTTTGTGGACGGGGACACCTATCAACTTCTTAGCATCCGAATTGATGACATGTCATCACCAGTAGGGAGAACAATCTAATCTATATTATAATGAGGAAGTTTACTCACTCCCAGCGTGCCACATCAGCATTTTTTTAATGGTCCACGCAAGGTTTTTTAACTACAAAAGTTATCAACGCTGACTATTAACAATAGATGGTCATTTGGCCGAGTGGTATAATCTGTATACCTAAAGCTTCATTCTGCAGGTATCAGGTTCGATTCCCCCTAAAATCATTTTTTTTTTGGGTTCGCATGTTAAATTTAGTTACCGGGCTTTATTTGTTTTTCAGCCCATTTAAGTTTGTTCTGTTACAGACATCTAGATATTTCTTTCTCAAGACGATCCCGACTCCGACGAACGTATTCCCAAACTTCGTACTCTTCGTCTCCTCTCCTCATCTTTAATTTTTGTAACTCTTATTCCATCAGTTACGACTTGGATCCATCTATATATATATATGTTTGTAGATCGGGTCTCTGGTTTCTCCGGGTTTTTTTCTCCTTATATTCTGATAAACCCCGCAGTCGCTGTCGAAGTGATGTCTTCTTCAGATGCTCAGATCACCAACGCCGCCGTCGAATACTTCACTTGTGCTGCAAAGCTTCTGTTTCCTGATCTCAAAACCAGTAATGTATTTATTGGCATGGTTATTACTGAATCCGAAAGGTGCATTGTCTATTGTATGATCGATTTCCTGATATAATTTCAGTTTTATATATCATGAAAATTGGTAATTTCGTAAGATTTTTACTTTGTGCTATTTTGTTGGAATCCTAATGACAAGTTATATGTGGTAATGCAGATGAATCTTACCAAGTAGATATAATATTGGAATTTCTGGGCAAGAACAAGTTTTCTGGAATCTCTGAGATAATATTGTTTGAGTTTCTATTCAGCTTCAGGTTAAAATTTTTTTGGATCATATCACTTTGTATTTGTTTCCAGTTTGGATTACAATTGAACCCTACTTTAGTTTTTCTTCCTTGGGATCGTTTCCAAGACTGATGACTTTCAGAATCAGGCTCAGCCTCTTGAAAATCTTGCAAGAAGGTTTAAATCGAATGTATTCTCTAATGCTGACTCTTCCCGTATATATTTAGGTCTGTATATTTTCTCTTCATATGTATATTCTTACTTGCAGCTTATGTTATTATATATAAAAAGTTGAAATTTTGTCCTCATGTGTATATTCTTACTTGCATCTTATGTTTTATATATAAAAAGTTGAACATTGCGATGCCATTCTTGACTTTATTGAGAGTAGAGGATGCAACAAAACTGCTGTAAGTTTCTGATGTTTGACGCTTTGTCATCTACTGAAATAAGCTATAAGCAATGTGGATTGATCTATTGTTCTCTTAAACAAGTAACTGTCAGATAACAACCTATACCCCAAGTATTTTTTAAGTCCGATCAATCACCAAGGAATATAGAAGTATACTTTTTTATCCTTTCTTTCATGTGATCTATATTGAATCTGCAAATCAGGATTTTGTTTAGGACTTGTGGATATAACTGTTTTGTCTACTATGGGTCAGTTCCAGTTCTAGGGTGTGAAAGGTATTCTCTTTAATGTTTATGTTTGGGATATATTTGAGAACTTATACAAGTTAAGATTTAAATATAGAAAAAAACCGCAGGAAAACACAAGTGTAGTGACTCGCTAAAATCCTGCTCTCCTTTATTACTATTTGTTGTATCTTAACAGGTTTGATATTTTACGGTTAAGACAATCAACTAAATTGAGCACCCAAGACGTAGATGTATTCATCAGCGAAGAATTGAAACCAAGAGTGGGTTCTGCTAAGGATGAATGAAAATAAAGTTTGAGTAAATGCAGACAAAAGAAAGACAGAAAAATCACAATGTAACATTACATGGTTCTGATATTGTGTGGAATTGGAAAAGAGAAACGGTATTCAATAAAAAAATTATTTAATATTGTTTGATACAAAATATAAATTCCAAAGAAAAACTGAATATTGATAAAGTTTTCTTAAATAGCACTCACTCAGTTGATCTCAGTGCCTCTGAATATCAAGATAAGACTACAAAAATTGTGTGTCTGTGTGTGCCAATGTCATCAAAAAAATCACAAAAACTAAATAACATACAAAATACAAGTTAATGTGCATGTAATACCTTTTTGCAGGTAGAATTAAAAAAATACTATATGATCCATTTGAGAGGGGAATCCATTGTGAAAGTCCAAGACATTAATAAATATTCAAACACTAGAAAGGTAAGAGAGCAGAAAACCAAATACGTTGACACGAAAAAAATAGGTGTGATGATTTGAGAGATGAATGGAAACAACACTGAAGATTGTGCTATGAAGCCAAATAAGCAAATATATACTG